CCGTGATCAGGAAGTACACAGGAGACCTGCGGTGCGTCATGAGTTGATCAGTGTGGTGGAGGGAAAGGTGTGCGGGGACTGCCGGCGGGGATGGGTGATGGGGGTGTTGCTCCTGCATCCCGGCCCTGTCCTCTAATACCCCAAGGTCTCCATCACACCCAGTGTCCCCCAGACCTCCAGTTTCTTCTAGGCTACACATTTCCTCCAGCCATTGCTAATGAGAGATGTTCTCCACACACCTTTGCCCGGCCTCCTGTGTGAGGGTGTTAAGGTTCCTTTTCAGAGTGGTGCACAGGTCTGGATCCCAGCTCTGGCAGAGCTGCCCTTGGGAATATTCTGGCTCTGTTCTCCTTTTGGCAGCCTCATCATGCTATCGATTTAGATGCGGTCAGCAGCCCTGAGGTCATTTACCGGCCTGGCTTCTGCATGGCCAGCGTTCCCCTTGCTGCTTCTGATCGGTGCGCTGCTGCCCGCCTCGTGGTCGGAAGGAGGGTGTGCATTTGGCGCTGCGTGTCCTACACAAGAGTACAGCCCTGACTTTGTGATGGCCTTTCTCCTTTTCCAGTCCCCTTCACCCCTGCTTTCTGGCTGTGTTCCAGGGTAGATCATTCATGTTGCCGGTAACCTGGCTTCCTCATTAATGAGTCGTCATTACATTTCATAAAGCACCATGGAGAGTTACATGCAGGAGAGTGAGTATAGGGTATTTCTGGGTGGGATTCTTGGCTGGCAGCCCTGAGATGATTTCTAAATTGGAGATAAAAATAAAGCTTGAATGTCTCTTCTCTTCTGCTTTCTTCCAAAATATTTGTTTTTCTGCTGTTCTTCCCCTTAACATCAGAGTAGTAACATACATATACATTTAATGTAAGCATTTGTTGGGGGGAATTACAGCCCCTCATTCAGGCTTCACAAAGCTTATGTCGGGCTCATAGCTTCCTAGTTATATGTTACACTTCTGACTGACTGTTTCATAGACAGGAGATGAGAAATTTAGTTTGTATATGTCTCTAAAACTGTGTTATACATGCAAATGGTAGATAATGGCGTGGGTTCTGTCCCTGAATTCACTTGTTCACGTCACAGAGATTGATGGTCTTGGACTGTAGAGACTGTGATTTAAATACCATCTGTGGCCACTTACCCAGCCGACTGTTAGAAGCCAGATCTGCCAAATGAGCATTGTGTGTTCCTGAAAAAGAAGAATCGGAAGAATTTTACCATGGAGGATCTTAAAATATTACGTGTTTAAAAACTGAGAATTTTATTAACTTCTGTAACACAAAGTAGTTTATAGAACAGAGGTTCTTTAGAAGGTAAAAATTTTAATTTAACATTTTCTTTAATATTTTACTTACATGGGGTTTTTTTTAAACATTTTTTATTGAGCTATAGTCATTTTACAATGTTGTGTCAAATTCCAGTGTAGAGCACAATTTTTCAGTTATTCATGAACATACATATATTCATTGTTACATTTTTTTTTCTGCTGTGAGTTACCATAAGATCTTGTATATATTTCCGTGTGCTATACAGTATAATCTTGTTTATCTATTCTATACATGCGTATGTTTCAAACAGCACCTGGAAAATCAGCATCCCTCACCATAACCTAAGATAATGAAAAGAAGGCATTATCTTGCCATAAGGGTGTTTCAGGAAGTGGTACTGGGCCCCTCCCACCCCTCCCCCGGAGGTGCTGAGGCCCCAGGAAGCCAGGCCACAAACCCTTTGCTGCTAACAGCCACCCTTCTTCTGGCTACTTTCCAGGTCCTGGAGAGGTGTTAGAAATGCCCCTTCTGTAGAGGTTAATTTGCAAAGGTCTCCCAGTATATCCAGAGTTGCTGAGTTATGTCCAATGTCAGTGTCTTTGGGCCTAAAATTTACTTTGGCTTTTAGAATTGTTTGCATTTTCCCATTTCATTTCTTAAAAACCTTAAGCATTTTTGTTTACATTATTTAACAGCTAAGTGGTTTATTGAGTATCAGAATATGGTAGGTCTGTCTTGAACCAAACAGCAGCATCAGACAGGTTAGTACATGAAAGGACAGCGTACCTCTGAGGTGGTCCAAACAGCTGGGCATCAAAACAGGAGGACTAGGAGAATTCAGATCTGATAGTACTGAAGCCGTAGGGCAGGTTGACCTGCTGTGAAATTTTTCAGGGGCCAGAATAGCCCTGAAGGATACAGCCCCAGGTTGACCCTATTTTAGCCTATGAAGATGCACATTTTTCCCAGTTTTATTGAGAAACAATAGACATCACTGTTTAAGGTGTACAGCACAATGGTTTGATTTACACATACCGTGAAATGATTACCACAGTAGATTTGGTTAACATCCATCATCCTATACAGGTGCAGTAAAAAGAAAAACATTTTTTTTCTCTGTGATGAGAACTGTTAGGAGCTACTCTCACCAGCTTTCCCATATATGTCTCATTTATGTCTGTCTTACAGTGTTACCTCTAGTCAGCATGTTGTACATTACATCACTAGTACTTATTTATCTTATAATTGGAAGTTTGTACTTTTTGACCACCTTCCTTTAATTTACTTTCCTGCCAACCCCTGCCTTTGGCAACCACAAATCAGATCTTTTTTCTGTGAGTTGATGTTGGGGTTTTTTTGTTGTTGTTATTAGATTCCATGTGTAAGTGAGATCATGCAGTATTTGTCTTTCTCTGTCTGACTTATTTCACTTAGCATAATACCTTCAAGGTCCATTCATTTTGTTGCAAATGGTAGGATTTCCTCATTTTTAATAGCCAAATAATATTTCATTGTGTATGCGTGTGGTATGCGTGTAAAGCATGAAGTTACGGTGTGTATGTATGTACATATACACACACATACACACACACACATACACACACACACATATACCACAACTTCTTGATCTAGTCATCCATCAGTGGATACTTACGGTTGTTTCCATGTCTTGGCTATTGTAAATAGTGCTGCTGTAAACATGAGGGGGCAGACATCTATTTAAGTTAGTATTTTCATTTCCTTTTAATATATTCCCAGGAGTGGAATTGCTGGATCATATGGTAGTTTAATTTTAGTTTTTTGAGGGACCTCCATACTGTTTTCTACAGTGGCTGTACCAGTTTACAGCCCCACCAACAGTGCACAGTGTTTTTTGTAATCCCCTGTCTTTTTGGTGATAGCCATTCTAACAGGCGTGAGGTGATAAATAGCTCATTGTGATTTTATTTAGCATGCCCCTAATGACTGGTGATCCTGAGTAGCTTGTCATCTGCCTGCTGGTCATTTGTATACGATGCAGATTTTTATGGTGTCTCTATACGTGTATGCCTGTGGCTTTCATATGAATGACAATAGCTGTTTTCCCCTAACGTCACTGGCATTAAAATTAAATCTTCGTTTTTCTTTTCTTTTTCCAGAACAAGCTTGCCTTCCCCTATGTTTTCCAGAAATGACTTCAGTATCTGGAGCATCCTCAGAAAATGCATTGGAATGGTAAGTTAACTCTGTGTTCTACAGTATTGAGCTGGTATGTGTTCCATGCATATCCATTGGAAGGGAATCTTAATGTCGGCCTACAAGCGATGCACAGCAGTGTTCATGGAAACTTTTGAGGATCAGAAATAAGGAGAATTCTTATACTAGGTTTTCCTGACAGAATTTTAACCACTCTTTATGCCATTTGATACGACTTTAATGTGACTTTTCATTGTGAGGAAATAGGAACAGAAAATGTTCTTTCCTCTTGTCTCTCCATATTTGTATTTCCCGTAGAATTACCTAGAAATTCTCTCAGAAAGAACAGACTTCCCGCAGTGTAGAATATAATTTCACTTACGCATCTGTGTACAGAGCAGGTTTGTGTACTTTGAATCTGTAAATGTGGTATGCATTAGCTACTTGGAATGTGTCTCTGCTTTGTTACCTGTGCAGGTGGATCTGAGTTTTGGGGGGAGGGCAGCAGTTGGCGAAATTTACTATCACGTAAATCCTTGGGTTCCTTGAAAGAGTAGTCCACATCACCAACCTGGTATCAGTCAGGCTAGAATTGTGAGTAAAGTTCTCTTAATCCTTCTTGCATGGCCTTTGAACAACTAGAATGGTGAAAATTTAAAAGCATATGAGTCCTGAGCTGCTAAAGAATCTGCCTGGACATTACCTTTCTTAATTTTGCAATTTAGGGTACAACCTGGGAGTACTCCAAGAAGTTTCCTCATACTGAGAAGCACAATCACTTTCTAAACATTTTCATTCTGGTGCTTGAAACCCTTTTAGCTGCTGGTGTGCCCACTTTGGCATTTTTCGAATGTCCCTGTTCTCTGCATGGGGTAGGGTGATCTGAGACTTCCTAAATGTAATTTCCAAGATGCTAATCCCAGAAACATTTATTTTAAACAAATATTCTTATCCTCCTATGTGGAGAGTAATTCGGCTAAGCTTTCTGTAGCTGGGTAATGAGATTCATCCCAGCCTTGCTGGCCCCCATCTGTGAGACCCTGGGCAAGTTGCCATGCCTCCCTGAGTAGCACTTCCTCCTGTGTAAAATTAGGAGAATAATTTGCGCTTTATAGGTGTGTTGAGAGATAAATAAGATAATTTATGTAAAATGTCTCGGACAGACCATGATTTAGCTTAGTACTCAGTATTATTATTAGCTGAGAATCAGAACACCTGGGCTCTGATTTTATTTTGACAAACCAGATGTCTCAAGGCAAATGTAAATATTCTTAAATAAAATGTCAATTATGTATATTAGTCTCTTAAGAACTGAAATCTTCAGGACAAAAATTAACACTTGTGTTCTACTGAGTTAACATTTTTCAAAACATAAAATAGGCATTCAAAATATATTTGGTTCAACAATTGTTAATTTGAATATTACTCATTCAATGCAAATCATTATGCATACTTAGACAAAAGTGTGAGCCATTATCATTCCTTAAGCCAAGTAAATAAATAATTGTTCTAAGTAGTCAAAAAAAAAAAACAAACATTTTTCAGACCCTTAGTTGACATATTAATCATTGTGATCCAAAATGTAAATACGTACCTCTGTGTGTGTGTGCATAAAATTACAACCAGTTTCACAGAAGAATGCTCATCGTTACAACAAATGTTTTCTGTTAGATTAGATTAATGCTGATTCCAGCTCATTAAATTGATTTCGTAACCTGCGAATGAGTGAAACCCCCAGTTGCTGTCGAATTGGTGCCACGTCTGTCTAAGGCTGTTTGGTCAGCAAAATTTGTATGAAAACTGCAGGTGTGGTTTAGTCTTTTTGGCCGTCAGGGAAAGCACAGTTTCTGTATTTCTCTTGCTTCAGTCTGTCTCCTACCACCTCCTGTCTCACTGGGTGTGAGAGTTAGTCGCAGTGTCATGAGTTTGTTCAGGCTAGTGACCAATAATCGTCTAGTTTATGTCTAAAGCAAGCATTCTTTCTGAATGGAGACTAACCATTCTCTTAAATGATAGAAATGTTGGCTTGTACCTGTCATGCTTAGAAAGATACTGTTTCTGTAGAGGAATGATTTTACTTTTACTTTTAGGTGCAGGACTGTTTGTACAGATAAACACTTAGCTGAATCATAAATAAAAGCAGAGCTGTTTGGATTGAAAGGGTACCACGGGATGTTTTCAAACTTGTATCCCTAGAAGTTACTGAATAAAGTCACAGAGAAAGATCAGCAGGGGAGGTAATATTTTGGGAAAATGTTTTCTGCTGAGGTTTTATCAGAGACTAACGTCCTAGAGGAACACTTATAACGTGGACTGAGGAGCAGTCGTGTGGCACTTGGAGGCCGTGTTCTTGGGCTCTGTCGTGGGCCCCGCTCTCATGGGCAGCAGAAACAGTCAAGGTGTAAGTGTTGAGCAACCACAGAGATTAAAGTACAGTTTATTCTTGAGAGAGAAATGCAAGTAACATCACTAGAATAAAAATTTTAAAAGTAATTTTTGGTATCGACCCCTCCAATATCTGCCTCCTACCTCCCGAAAGATAATAGATCAAAAATGGGAAAATGTTAGTATCCATAGATTTTATTATACTTCATAGTGAAGGCACTTTAAAAAAAAAAAATCCCCCGCTGCACTTTTGTGATTCTGTTACGCTTAACGATCCAAACACTTCAGGTCCTTTCTGTGCGGGTAAATCTCAGTCAGAGAAGCCACACACATACCCTTCAGCTGACTCTTCCTGTAGCTTCACATTCCCAGTGTCTTAATTTCGTAATAATAAGTCTTTAAAGTAGCGGAGGAAATGTGATCATGGAAACAGAGCTTTTCATGATGTCTCTGTCGGCTTGAGGAGCACGCCAGGTGAGAGTTGGGTGGGTGAGCGTCCTTCTGGAAACCGCCCAGGTCCACACTCAG